GGGTCACTGTCACTCTGTAATTACCTTTTTTGGGTCTGCCAAGCTGTTTCTCAAAGTGGCTGTTTCTTACATGCTCATCAACAGTGTGTGAAAATTCCAGTATCTTCAAGTACTCACCAACTCTTGTTATTACTTGCCCTTTTGTTTTGACTCTCCTACTCAGTATGAATTGGTATCTCCCTGTGGTTTTGATTATCATTTCCCTAATGCATGATGTTGAATATTCTATGTGTGTATATTGATAATTTACATATATATTTCCCATTTTCTCTTTTATTGTTGAGTTGTAAGTATCTTTATATATACCTGCCTCTTATCAGCTATAAGAAAATTTGCAAAAGTTTTCATTTATCTATGGGTTGACTTTTCATTTTCTAGATAGTGAATTTTTCAGCACAAAATTTTGTATTTGGATAAAGTACATATAATCTGTTTTTATCTTTTGTTGCTTATAGTTTTGGAATCATATGTGAGAAATCATTGCCTAATTCTAGGCAGTGAAGAATAACACCAGTGTCATTGGTATATCTGTCTGTCCCTAAGCAGTACTATATTTTCTTAATTATTATAGCTTAGCACTATGTTTTGAAATTGGGAAGTTTGAGCTTCCAACATGGCTTTTCTTTTTCAAAATTATTTCGGCTATCTTTAGTCCCTTACATTTCCATGCATTTTAGGATCAGCTTGTGAGTTTTCATAAAAAAGGTTGCCAGAATTGTGATGAATATTGCAGTGAATATGTAGATCTACATGGGGAATATCGCTGTCTTAACTAAACTCCCCCTCCTTTTTTTTTTTTTTTAAAGATTTATTTATTTATTCATACAGAACTGGGGTACAGGCCAGAGATGTGGAGGGTGAGAGGATTCACCAGAGACAGAGTGGGGAGCAGAACAGGCAGATCTACGAAGTACACTGCTGAGGGGAGCAGCGGGCGTGTCAGGAGAGGTCTGCCGCGCCATGTGGTCACCTCAGGGGCAGGCGGGAATCGAACTCATGCGGAAGCGGCTTTAGATTCTCAGTGCAGTGCTTTAACCCGCTGCGCCACCAGGGAGGGCCACCCCCCTCCTTTTTTTTTTAAGGATTAATTTATTTATGCATACAAGAAATGGGGTACAAAGCCAGAGGTGCAGGGGTGGTGGTGAGAGGATTCACCAGAGACAGTGGGGAGCAGAACAGGCCAAAATACACTGCTGAGAGGAGTAGCAGGTAGGTCAGGAGAGGTCTGCCGCGCCATGTGGATCACCTCCCTGGCTGGGATTGAACTCGTGCTGCTCTGGCTTCAGATAGCATCATAGTGCTGTGCTTTAACCTGTTGCACCACTAGGGAGGGCCCCTAACTTCCCTTTTTGATGTGTAGATATCAGTCACATTTCTTGTCACTTGCTTCATGGGTGTAGATTTTTATAGACTCGTTTAATTCATATGCCACTTTTTGGAAAAATTATTAAGTCAAAAGCTAAAGCAACTTTCTATTTTCCCCCTAGAATAACACATTTTAAATAAAAGACGTTTCTGTCTCTATCATTTCATTCTTTTATTGCAGCACAAAACAGATTTTACTCCTTTAGCCACATCCATTTAGTTTCCTCATCAGTCTAGCGCTGGTTAGAATTCTGTTAGGAAATATCACCATCTTGTGGAACTTTTAGGTTTTGCCACTCCAAAAACACCAGACTTACCCCAAATCCTCTTATTTGGGAAGTCTTAGGGGTTCACAGATTTGGAAAAGATGAATTTAAATATCAGCTTGCAAATTCTACAGTTTGGTTCATCCTAATGAAATAATTATAAATATACATATATATAAATATGTAACAGATTGTAAGTATGTATACATATCATCTAAACATGTTTTCTTTCTTTTTTAAAAGGTTTTATTTATTTATGTGTACAGAACTGGGGTAAAGGCCAGAGGCGCAGGTGAGAGAATTCAGAGAGATTGGGGAGTAGACCAGGAAAATGGATGAGGTACACTGTTGAGTGGAGCAGCAGGCGAGACAGGAGAGGTCTGTAGCTCCATATGGGTCACCTCTAGGCCCAGGGTTGAACTCACACTAAAGTGGCCTTGGCCAGCTTTGCTAAGCCACCAGGGAGAGCCCCAGATTTTGTTTCTTTTTAAAAGGCAGTCCACAGGCTTTATTTTATAAAGGTAACAGGTAAAATCAAGCAAGCACTTAAATTATGGAAATAAATTATTAATAGAAATTTTATGTTAAACATCTTACTTTAATCTGTTTGCATGTAGCATGTTAGTTTTGCATATTTGAATCAGCCTAATTATAGTATAGTGATTTAGAACCAAACTTGGTAGTTTTCTTTTTATTATTTATTTATGCATAAAGAACTGGGGTACAGGCCAGAGGGGCAGGGGTAGTGAGAAGATTCACCAGAGACAGAGTGGGGAGCAGAACAGACAGATGGATGAAGTACACTGCTGAGGGGAGCAGCAGGCGGGTCAGGAGAGGTCTGCGGTGCCACGTGGGTCACCTCTGGGGCGGGGATCGGACCCTCACTGAAGCAGAGCTGCGTTTTAACCCGTGGGTTGCACCACTAGGGAGAGACAAACTTGGTAGTTTTATTCCTGGCTCTCCCACTAGTTTACCGTCTGACCTTTGACAAATTACTTATCCTTTGCGTGTCTTAGTTTTCATATCTTCAGAGAAATCATTGCAATAGTATTTATCTCAGAGATTTGTTGGGATGTTTAAATGACTAAGTCATGCCTAGTACTTGGTAATTGCAATGTAAGTGCTAGATACTTTTTTGTTATCTGGGATAATGTCTTTCAAGCTTCTTTCCTGCTGAATTGAAAGCGCTGTGAGGGCAGACTTTATCAGTTTTATGTGCTAATAATTGAGTTCCTTGCAAATACCTTCAGACTGGCTTAGAGTCCACTTCCCTCTGTTAGCCCTGGCAACCCCTCCATCGCCGCTTTTTTTTTTCTTTTTTGCTTCAAATTTCTGTTTATTTACATACACATTTATTTGTGAATGGGTAGGGTGGTTGGCTGATATCCATTTCGTGAAGTTTGGGGTTTTATTTTTAAAAATATTTATTTTTGCATACAGAACTGGGGTACAGGGCAGAGGAGCAGGGGCAGTGAGAGGACTCACCAGAGACTGAAATACACTGTTGAGGGGAGCAGCAGGTGCATCAGGAGCGGTAAGTCACACCCTGGCTGGGAATGCAACTGGTGCTGAAGTGCTGAGGAGAGCTTCATAGTGCTGCTCTTTAACCGGTGTCGCCACCAACGGAGGGCCTGGGGTTTTACTTTAAACGTTAAGTAAGTTTGGAGAAGTCAATGGTTAGAAAAACAACACTTCCCCTTTCTGCACGGTGACCCACTGCTCCAGGAGTAGGGCTCAGGCACTGGGTCTCTCCCAGCGCATTTGTAGGAACCCTTGGCTTCGCTTGGGAAAATCTCCTACTCCACAATGAAAAAGGTGTGAACTTGCCTTTGGGAGACGCTGTTTATTAGGTTTTCCTCACCCCAGGGAAGGGGTGGGTCAAAAGTCTCCCGCCAATCTGACGTCAGCAGGAAATTAAGTACGAACTTGCAAGCCGGATTTCTTCCTCAAGATAGCCCGCCTTCTCTTACTCGATAAATGACATTTTCTTTGGAACTCAGAGATCACCAAGGATTTTAATTTTTTTAACACTTTATTTTCAGGTATTTATCTCAGAACCATTAACTTCCAGAGGATCAGAGGAATTTGATCTGAAGGTATGTAACCAACACACCCTAGGCTCCCCACTCCCCCACCCCCCACCCCCTTTTCAGTCCATCCTGCTGGGGTTTTCACTTTTCAGCCTTTCCTTCGATTTATGTAGAGAAACTAATAAAAAACCTCATTGCCAAGACTGGCAGTTTCTACCTGGATAGATTAGCCAGTACTTGAAAATGAAAGTTTAAAATGCTCCAGGAAGTTTTATTTAGTTCGCCAACAAGATAAAGTTTAGTAAAGGGATATGGGGGCAGAACCTTTTTTTTTTTTAATTTAAAGATTTATCTATCTATTTATTTATTTATGCATACGAACTGGGGTACAGGCCAGAGGTGCAGGGGTGAGCGGATTCATCAGGGCCCAGGATCAGAATCTTCCGGAAACTTCAACGCAAATGTCCTATCTTAAAATAGGACGACATCTTCAGAAACCAATCCTTTGTTTTCTATTATCCCAGGGTCACTAGCAGGCACAGTCTCAGGATGATCACATCAAGGATGACTTTTTTGGTTTTCTTTTTCTAACAAAATGTGCAATACGTTCTTTTGCTTATAATCAGAAAGACTCAGGAACCCAGAACACTATATTATCTATTTACTGTATCACCAAGATATAAGCACTCTCTGTTATTTATGTTCTGTTTTTTTGCTATGTTCTCCTTCCTTTAGAAAGCCATAGTTTCTAAATAATCTCACACAGTGAATATATACCTCACCTCCTTAGAGAATGAATGATAATTGAAAATTTTTGCTGATTCATTCCTTCTCTGAGTAGAGTGAAATTTAGTGTAGAAAACACCATAACCTCGTGAACTGAGAATTCTTTGGTCACTTACAACTTCCTAACTGATTTGGTGGAAATGAATTAAGCTCTAAGCCCGAGAAATTGTACTATTTCACCCTCCCTTTGACTAACTCTCACTGTGGACATTGTGCTTTAGGAGAAATTATGGTAACTTTTGAGTTCCCATAAAAACTCCACCCACTCTTTCACTAGCTCCCACTGCAGGCATTTTGATTTAGAAGAAATCAGGGTAACTTGCATTCCTACAAAAACTTCCTTCAGACCTTCTAGAGAGTTAACTTGAGAGTGTTGGGGTTGAGTTTTCTGGACTTGCTTTCAACCCTTACAAAATTCCTCCCCTCTAGGACTTCTAGAAAAGTCTAATGCCTTCATCTGATAGATGGCTTGGGAAGTCGGGGTCTGTGGGGTCTGTGGGGGTCTGTTATCCATACTCTCTAACATGCTACCTTGCCTCTTTTCTCTTCCAGGATGGCCATGACATCTCAAGTTCAGAGTACCAATTCTGTTCTGGACAGTAGCTTTCGCATAAAGCTGCTGGAGATCGATTCACACCTGGGGGAGGAAGAGGTAGAACACCTAAGGTTTCTCTGCCAAGACTTTGTCTCCTTGAAGAAGCTAGAGAATTGCACGTCAGCTTTCAACATTTTCGAACATCTCTTGGCTGAGGAGAAGGTGAGTGAGGAAGACTCCTTCTTCCTTGCGGAACTCCTCTACACCATCAAGCAGAAGTCGCTGCTGCGGTATCTTGACTACAGCAAAAAGCAAGTGGAGAGTTTGCTGCCGACACACAGGAGCATCTCTCTGTTCAGGTAAGGAACGTTCTGTGAGGAAAACAGGAGGGCTTTCCACTTAGGGCCCCTGTGAAAGGAGGCTGGTGTTAAAATCCGCTTATGTACCTCCTTGGATGATACAGTAATTCTAAACCAGGATATCTCTTAGCTTCAGGTGCTAATGAAATGAGATTGGGAGCTGGCAGTGGCTTCCCTTTATTTAACAAAAAAGAAGCCCCTTTCGTGGAAACAGGGCCTGTGACTTCCCCTCTCCCAGCCTCCACATGGTTAGGCTTTCCTTCTGTGAGCTAGTTCTGAGTCCACTTATCACTGTATTTGAGAAGAGAATAATGCATGCCTGGAGCCAAATAAGCACAATGAAAAAAAATGATGTGTCTCTGGAGTGGGGTCCTTTATGTCATGTCTGATTATAGACTTTTAAACGTTTTGGGTGAAACAGAGAGATAAATATATAGGTATTTTGTCCATTCTCTGACCACCCCGAAGTTGGGGGAGTTTCCTTTCTTTCCAGTATTGACCTCTATATTGACTAGGTCCTCTCTGAGGAGGGTCTGCACAGTAGGGTCAGAATTTCTGAAATAGAGCCAGGAGGGTCTGCGGAAACCTGTTTTTAAAGATTTATTTATTTGTGCATACAGAACAGGCCAGAGGTGCTGGGGCAGTGAGAGGATTCACCAGAGACAGAGTAGGGAGCAGAACAGGCAGATCTATGAAGTACACTGCTGTGGGGAGCAGCGGGCAGGTCAGGAGAGGTCTGCTGTGCATCGAACTCGCTGAAGTGGCTGCGGCTGGCTTTGCAGTGCTATGCTTTACCCCGTTGAGTTCCAGAAACGGGACTGGAAACTGTGTTTTATGTCTTCCTAGTTTGATGGAAAACAGCACCGGGCTGGATCCAGAAGTCCAGCCTCTGCTGCTCCTGTGTTATTGTGATATTATAGGTCTTTCAAGTTCAAAGTTTTAGTTTTTGAATCTAAAAAGGAGGATTAGGCCCTCCCTGGTGGCGCAGCAGGTTAAAGCACTGCACTAAGAAGCTTAAGCCACTTCCGCATGAGTTCGATCCCTGCCTGCCCCGGAGGAAATCCACATGGCGTGGCAGATGGAGGAAATCCACATGGCGAGGCAGTCAGATCCCTCCTGACTAGCCCGCTGCTCCCCTCAGCAGTTTACTTCGTTAATCTGCTTGTTCTGCTCCTCACTCTGTCTCTGGTGAATCCTCTCACCCTCCCGCATCTCTGGCCTGTACCCCAGTTCTGTATGAATAAATAAATAAATCTTTAAAAAAAATAAAAAGGAGGATTAAAAATTGACTACTAACAGTTGTGATTGTTTAAATAAGAGATACCATTTGTAAAAGCATTTGATTTACTGTCCTCTGCAAATGTGGGGCTTTATTTGCTATTTGGTATTTGTCTTAGAACCTTGCTGTATGATCTGTCAGAAGCTATTGATCCAGAGACCTTACAGGAAATGAGTTTCCTTTTGAAGGATGAAATTCCAAAAGCCCCGAAGGTGAGTGGGTCACATAGAATGGGGTCTTTGTGAGCACTACTTACTTGGTGTTTGGGAAGATGCTGGAAAGGCATTTTAGGAGGGCTTATTATTATTATTAATATTACTTATTATACTACTTCGGAGTAGGATGGCTGTCCTTAAAGAAGACAGGAGAAAAGGGGGTCTCAGAAAGATTTAATCAATTGCCCCCAAACCAAGGGGGATAGTGAAAAACCAGGACTAGAATCAAGGCCCATCTGACACCAAAGCCAATGGTTTTTAACCATTGTATAATAAGTAATATGAATGCCTTCTGTGTGCATGAGCCCAGCGCCTGTATCTGGCTCTCAGCAACCAGGCAGTCAGTGTGTAACTCCTCCTGTCACTCGCTGTGGTTAGGTATAGAATGTACAGGGCACAACAAGGAGATGAAGTGTTCAATGAAATAATGGCAGAGTGAAATTAGTTGTTTGCCATTTACAGGAAATGAGGTTTCTGAGGAGAGTCTCTTTCAGTGGACTTTATATAGTGTTCTCTAAGCGGGTTTTTGTGAAAATCAAATGAAGCCACAGGTTGAAGGTGTGTTATGTAAAGGTGAATATATAGTGATTTTTTTACTAGTCATATAATTGTAATCTGCTAACAATCTTGTACATGTTAAAGGCAAGAAAGTAGTGACATCTCTTTTCCTCGAAGCACTTTATTTTTCCGTTTTTTAAAAGATAAACATTCAGTTTTGTTTTCTCTTTCCTTGTTGTTATATTTTTCTAGGAAAAAAAAGCAAATGAACAAATGAAATAAACAAACAAAAAACCCAAAATTTTAGACCCTTGATGACAGTGGTTGCAGGAGTGGAGGGAGTGGGGGGGCGGGGAGGGATCTGGGAGGTGGTGGGAAACCGCAGTAGTTAACCTGGGTGCTGTTAACTGCTGTCATCTCAACTAAAAGAAAAGAAAAACTTAATATTTTTTCTCCTGACTCTAACAGCAACGGTGACAAGCAAGTTGCTTAATTTGGAAAGGGAATAATTTTCAAAGTTTCCCATATAAAATCACTGTGTTATTCAACCGGTATTTGTGTTAGATGTTAAGTCCTATAATGTCAATAACACAACAAACCCATGTGACATGCATGGAAGTGCAATATTCCGTGAACAACCACACGCTCCCTCATCCACCTTCTCATGGAGAAGATCACTTGTGGGCCCACACTAGCTCCCATCATATGCTCCCCAGATTAACCGATCATTTATTGACAGATGACTTTTTAAAATTTTTTGCATAGAAGAAGCACAGGCCAGAGGAGCAGGGGTGAGAGGATTCACCAGATAGAGTGGGGAGCAGAACAGGCAGATGCACTGAAACACATGGCTGAGGAGTGCTGAGGGCTGGGTGTGCCGTGAAACTGCTGCTCCAAGTGGGTCAGCTCCCGGGCTGGGATAGGGTCCAACTCTGGAGGAAGCTGAGATAGTGCTTAACCCTTACACCACCAGGGAGGCCCTTGACAAATAGCTATTTTTTGTTTTCAGAAAAATCACTGTGGAGGGGCCCTTTCTGTTGGCTCAGTGGGTTAAAGCACATAGCACTATGAGGCTATTCATAGCCACTGCAGGGCAAAGTTCAATCCCCAGCCCCAGAGGTGACCCACATGGTGCAGCAGACCTCTTCTGACCTGCCCGCTGCTCCCCTCAGCAGTGTACTTTGGTTCAATCTGCTTGTTCTGTCTGTCTCTGGCGAATATCTCACCCCTTGTACCTCTGACCTGTACCCTAGTTCTTATATGCATAAATAAATAAACCTTTGAACAAAAAAATCACTGTGGAGTGGAAAGCTATTTTACATGTGGTAGATCAAATGAAGACAGTGATCCGTTAAACATGTTTTCTAGTGTTGGGCTGACAGATATCAGGCTTCCTGTGTCCTTTAATTGGTCACCTCTACTTCCTTTCTCTCAGAGGTTGGTTGTGAGCTCCGTGGGGGTGGGGCTGAGTCTTCCTCTTCATTTTAGCCCAGAACTTTAATGACTCAGTTACAAAGTAGTGCTCTGACTGAAGCATCAATGAATGGGCTGATGGAGTCCTCCTCCCCTGATTCTGAAATGGTTGAACCTTTTCTGTTTATATAATTTTACAGTCACTATGGGGATTGGGATTAGTGAGGTGAACTAAACCAGCACAGTGGAAAGTGCAGAGATACACTGATAACATTCTCACAGTTGTTGCTCCTTGTTAGTTTTTTTCTTTCTGTCTATAGCACCTGGAAGTTTTTTTTCCACCTTTTTTTTAGCTCTCTGGCTGGGATAGGGAGCCAACTCAGACAGTAACTCTGCTGAGACCTAACCCCTATACCACCAGGGAGGTCCTTAACTAAAGACTTTTTTTTTTAAAGATTTATTTGTTTATTCATACAGAACTGGGGTACAGGCCAGAGAAGCGGAGGGTAAGAGGATTCACCAGGAACAGAGCGGGGAGCAGAACAGGCAGATCAACGAAGTACACTGCTGAGGGGAGCAGCGGGCGTGTCAGGAGAGGTCTGCTGAGCCATGTGGTCACCTCTGGGGCAGGCGGGATCGAACTCATGCGGAAGTGGCTTAAGCTTCTTAGTGCAGTGCTTTAACCCGCTGCGCCACCAGGGAGGGCCTAAAGACTTTTTTTAAAGAGAAAAATCACTGTGGGCCTCCCTGGTGGTACAAAGGGTTAGGGTGCAGTGCTATGAAGCTATCCCCAGTCACTGCAGCCCAAGTTTGATCCCAGCCCAGGGAGGCGACCCACATGGCACAACAGACTTCTCCTGGACCTCACACGTTTCTCCCCTCAGCAGTGTATTTTGGTCAATCCATCTGTTCTGTTTCCTACTCTGTCTCCGGTGAAACATCTCACCCCCATCCCTACACTTCTCGCCTGTACCCCAGTTCTTATATGCGTGGATAATAAATCTTCAAAAAAAATCACTATGGAGTGGGGAGCTGTTTTACATCTGGTAGATCAAATGAAGACAATATTTTTCTTCTTCCTATAAAATCCAATGTGAATACAAAACATGATATAAAACAAGCATATAGCTTAATAAATGATGAGGTTAATATACCTTCAAAAACACTACCCAAATGAAGAAATTGTTATTTGCCAGTCATGCCAGTGACTCCTCCATTTGCTTCAGTACAACCACAGCCTGTTCTGACCCCAGAGAAGTCACCACCATCCAGGTTCTTATAGCTGTGTTCTTATGCTTATTTTTTAAAGATTGATTTATTTATACATACTGAACTGGATACAGGCCAGAGGTGGGGGTTAGTGAGAGGACTCGCCAGAGACATAGCCGGGAACAGAATAGGCAGATGTACTGAAATACACTGCTGAGGGGAGCAGTGGGTGAGACAGGAGAGGTCTGCTGTGCCATGTGGGTCAGCTCCCTGGCCAGGCATCGAACTTGTGCTGCAGTGGCTTTGGATCACTTCATAGTGCTGGGCTTTAACATGTTGCGCCACCAGGGAGGACCCACATTCTTATATTTCTTTATGATTATATTGTTAAAGGACAGGAGAGGGGCATCCAGAGACCCCTAAACCTGCCCCCTCTAAATAGGTTCTGCCATCTGCCACATCAAAACAAAACATATAAGAACTTTATTGTAAAGGAACTTTAATACAGTGAGTGTGCAATACAGAAAAGACAAAATATATGGTTTCTAAATCAAGCACCCAAAGTTACCTATCCCCTCATGGGTAAAAGTCCACACAAAAGGGATTGGCCCAAAGCAAGGCCTGAAAGCTAGCAGAGTCTAAAGTCCCTCCCAGCAGGGACCATAGAGAAGTGTCAGAAGTGGCCAGGTAAGTCTGGGAGGAAAAGTGCAAAATCAATACCAAGATAAAATCTGCCACTGATTCATGCAAGCCCCACCTCTTCCTTTTCTGGTAATGCAATTTTGTTTTTAGAGTCTAAGAATGTATTTTGTTTTGTTTTGCTTTTTCATTCTTTTCTTTACCTCAATAAAACTATCTTGCTGAATCTCCTCATAACCAGATTTTGAGTTTGTCTTTTTCCCCATATGGGTTTCTTTGGGTGTAATGTCCTTTCTTGTGTTGGTATTAAATTGCCCACTGGACATGCAGGTGAGGTTTATTGAATGAATGAATGAATAATCAGCAGGCAAGTATATGTGACTCCATGGATTCTCTTACAGACTTCTCTAAGTTTCCTCGCATGTCTGGAGAAACAAGCTAAAATAGATGAAGACAATCTGGACTTACTGGTGCAGCTCTTCCAAAAAACCAAACCTATCCTCGTAAGAAAAATAGAAAAATATGAAAAAGAGAAAGGTGACTGGCTTATGCTTGCTTCTTGTACCATACTCTGTGAATTCTTAAACCAACTGGTTGTATATAGTATTTACTCTCATCCTGTATGATATTATTTGTTGTGTATGAAAAGTCAGAAATCTCTCTACATATTAATTGAATGCACACATTGTGCTTCTAAGACACAGCTTAGAACTTGGGCAGAAATCCAACCTGACTGCTTCCCTATGTAGCAACATGCTAAATATTTTCATTTTCCTGAGTCCATTTTCCCACTGCTGAATAAGAGCATAATTGTGAATCTTGTTACTCCACACCCGTATTTTAATTCAGTGAACCAATCTAGTGTGCAAATTTGTCTGGTTAAAAATGAAACTAGCTGGAAAATACCTTCTTTATAAGAATTCTATGAAACAAATATTTGAGGGAAAGAATATATTGTTCTTAAATATGTAAAATGTCAAACAATAACTGAAGCATTGAAAAATTCATAATTTAAGTAAATGTAAAAAATAGGCACATTTTTCTTTTTTTCCCTATTTTTAATTTTTTTTACACCATAAACATATATTTTTTTAAATCATTCTTCATTTTGTGCATTTTTCCAGCTCAGTTGTAATCCCAATGGGCTTCCCATCACCAATTCACCCGTGGGGCACATTTTTTCTAACCATTAAGCAGTGATCAAGTGAGAACTAAAAAGCAGGAAGTTGATAAGACTTGATTTTCCTCACACTACTGCCATTTCCCTTTAACAAAGGATTGAGGCCAGTTAACATCAGGCAGTGGCCAGATTATTTTGGTCATTTGAGCTTTGGAGAGGACACACTAGTTTCTAGGTGGTGAATGTTTATGTTAGTTTCAATGTCTCAAGGACTGAGCATTATATCAGAGAAATTATAATTTTGATTTTTCTACCGCCTACCTGCTGTGTGACCTCTTAGATGCTGAAAAACTCCTGCTTTCTCTGCTGCTTCTCATACTAACACTTCTGGGACTCTTCTGAACTCAGCTGTTTAGATTTTTCCACACCAAGCATTTCAGTTGTCCTCGGGCACAAACTGGTGTTCTACAATTTAGTTTCATTCTGGCACTAACCAGAATTAGCATAGATTCCACAAGTTAAGGACTCATATAGCTTGAGACTGCCTCCTACTTCAAGCCAACCTCAAATAGCAGGTCCCCGGATGACCCAGAGCTTCCATCTGACTGTTATAAATCCTGGGTTCCCATGACCTCCTTACCCTCTGGTTTAATGCTTTGCTAGACTGGCTCACAGACTCAGGAAAACAGGTTACATACTAGACTGATAGTCATCATCACAGGGTGCAATCCAGGAGCTACCAATTGGGAGGGATTCATAAGACAAGGCAGGGGGTGGTGCTTTTTTCCAGGTGGTTCAACCTCCCAGCATCTTCAGGTGTTCACCCACCTGAAGCTTTTCCAGCCCCTTAAGTTAGGATTTTTAAAAAGTTTTATTTATTATTTTTGCATAGAAGAACTGGGTGTAGGCCAGAGGTGTGGGGGGTGAGAGGATTCACCGGAGACAGAGTGGGAGAGCAGAGCAGGCAGATCACTGCTGAGGGGAGCAGCAGGCAAGATAGGAGGTCTGCTGTGCGGTGTGTGGGTCACCTTACTAGCTGGGGATCATAGAGGTGATTGCACTGAGACTTCACCCCTAGGCCACCAGGGAGACCCAGATTTATTTACTTGTTTATTTATTTTAATGGAGGCTTCATTATGCAGACATGGTTGATATCATAAGTGGCTAATAACATAATGACTCAATCAGCCCTTATGTCTTTGCCAGAATTTTGGGGTGGGGCTGAAACTCCAACCCTTTTACCTGGCAAATAGCCACCATCCTGAGGCTTCCAACCATTCTATTAGCTGACAAAATAACACTGATCACTTTAGAGATCCCAGGGTTTAAGGAACTGTGTGCTCCTGAAAAGGAGGAAACGGGGAGGTCACCAAATACATTGTAGATGTCACTATTTTAACATTGACTTTCTACAGTCCTAAGACTTTGGGCTTAATGCTGCCATGAAGAGATAGTTTTGTGTATGTAGATTGATAGGTATAATATATATTTAACCAAGATCATACTAATTATATTCTATAACTTACTTTTTCTTCACTTAATATATCTGTTATTTTCCCATATATGTAATACAGATACAGGTCATTCCTACTAATGGTTTTATCAGGAAAATTTCCCCATACCTCTGGATTCTTCTCAAACTGGCTGATCAAATTAACTAACATCAGGCCCTCCCTAGTGGACCAGCAGGTTAAAGCACAGCACTGCAAGCTAGCTGCAGCCGCTTCAGTGCAAGTTCGATCCCTGCCCAGGAGGTGACCCACATGGCACAGTGGACCTCTCCTGACCTGCCCACTGCTCCCCTCAGCAGTGCACTTCACTGATCTGCCTGTTCTGCTCTCCGCTCTGTCTCTGGTGAATCTTCTCACCATCCCTGCTCCTCTGCCCTGTACCCCGGTTCTGTATGCATAAATAAATAAATCTTAAAAAATACATTTTATGTATGTAAATTTTGTATAGTCACCACTTTTGACTTTTTTTCTTTTCTTTCCTTCTTTTCATTATTATAGTTGGAGTTCTGATTCATTTTTTGAGGTTTTAGAGTCTCAGTTTGGCAATTATCTGACACATTAAATACTCTAGTTTCTAAAATAGTAGTTAACCTATGGTGGCTTTAAGGAGCTAATAGAGTAATAAAGATGACAAAACAAACACAATACTATATAATATACACTAATAATAGGAATAAAAAAACTGACAACTAAAAATACTTTATAAATTCACTCTTTCTGTAGATGTCTTTCAGCAATGGCACTATAGATCCACAGGTCCCTTTAAAGTAATTTCTCTTGACACTTGGTGACCTTGGATTGCTTCAGAAAATCACTCAGAAGGTGACTTTGTTTTCCTCTCTGTGATTCTATTTCCAGCCACCCAGGTTGTGGCACTGCCTGTGACCAAGGAAACTGAGTCATTGCATCAAGGAGAGGAAGAACAGGTCTCGCCTTTAGACATGAAAGAACTCTCTGAATCCTTACAGGTAAGTGTGTTGGTAAATGATGAGCCACCAGCTCCACTCTTTACCCCCCATTCTCAAAAAGGTGTGTGAGTGTGTGTGGGAGGAGGAAAGCAGGAGGCGAGGAGGGCGGGCTGATTTGTCATTTATAGCGTGGGGTGTGAATAGTCCCCCTGAAACCCTAAGGCAAGTTAGGGATAACTAGGCATCTGCAAAGTTCCATCTGTGTCCTAACTAGCCCGTGGCGGGCTGGTGGCCGGCACTCAGCACTGCTGCTGCAGCCCGGGATCCGTTCCTGGCTTGGTGACGAGGCCTGAAAACCTGACATTTTAGTATCACCACCATGGCTGATTTCAAGTTACAGATGTGACATTAACTGAATTGCAGAATCCTGAAAATCTAATTGGCTCTGTCTTGCTGGTTTGAGTTGCCTCCAGCATACCCCTGGATTGCTCGAAATGGTTCTGTTCTTACCCGTGTGATCCAGTCAGAAGCACATGTG